ATTCATTTACAAACACTAAATTTGCACTTCGGTAACTTTTCATGTCAATTACTAGCTCATAAGTATTAATAAGAGCAGTTGTCACAATATCGACCACAGACCTATAAAGGGTTAAATGATAATATGCTTTTACAGACACGTCGTACAGTGCAGAAGTAGTTATTGCTGCTGTAGAACGTAGCATACAGGTAGATCCGAATCAGTATATATGCAATCGAGCACAGCATTTGGATACGTGTCCATCAATTTTATGGAAGATTTTGCAAAGAAATATTCATGTTTATAATTTTTATGTATTCATTTATATGTACTTTTACTGTATTAATACCTATTTTTATAACCGTATTGATTGTTAAATATTGGAAATTTAAAAGTAATACCATTGAATTGTTTCCAAATAAAATGAATATTATAATTTTTAGAGTACAAATGTAAGACAACGAAAAATCGTGTTACATTTCCCCTTTACATCTTAAAAGTAATGTATCCGAAAACGTGAAATACTCCTTTCTTACTGGCAGCTTTATCATGTATATTTAAGTTGACGAAAATGTCGTCTAAAGCAGACTAGAGCTCGGCGTATGCAAACAATGTAAATCTTTTAATAAGATGAAAAATGTAAGTACTTTCTCATAGGCTTGTCGCAGAAGCGCAATTTGAATATGAATAAATGAAACGGAAGAAGCGTAATTATTTGGTGAAAATGGATGACTGGATGAAAGGATGAAAGAAAACCGCATATGTATTTTCTAAAGTGTAGTTAATACAAAGAAGAATTTTTTACAAATAGGCCTTAGTAAAAATATATTTATTTCGGCAATGTCCATTTTATTGATGTTATCTTTGAATGTTATATTCTAAAATATAAAATGAGGACCAGATTTTAAAATCTTGCACAGTTTTTCGTATATGGCGAAACTAATTTTTATAAGACTTCAAATATGGCAGTACGAGGTCTGAAAGGCCTCCTCAGAAACTTTCTCATCTAGTGGTTTAGGGCACATATAACCCCGAAAAGGTGGTAGTGTATTTTTAAAAATTGTTTTGTTATAATAAATGAAAATTAAATATTTTTTATATAAATTCATTGTAACACTGTCAAACAATATTTCTTTCTCACAGTCCCTGGATAGTAATAAAAAATTTATAATTGAGTTCAATGAAAGTTTTATAAGCTTGTTATTGAAAAAAAATTCAAAAATACAATGACTGTAAAAAAACGTGAAACTAATGAATTATACATTGTGAACATCGTATAAAACATGTTACACAGTAGGTACGCTTTCCCTCACATACTTCACAAAATGTTATTCAGTTTTTTACTTTTTTATTTACGTCTTTGCTGTAAAATTTTCCAATGCTTTATATCGTTTCTTTGAGCCTTGTTTTCTTACACAATGGGTAGGATGCCAATCTGACCCACCAACCTTTCTTTTTTATCCAGGCTGGGACCGGATTGCTAATATTGCACTGCAAGATACCAGACGCATGGAGAAACAGCATAATGATACCAATGTTCAAGAAATGAGATAAAGACGACCCCAACAACGATAGACGTATAAATATACTGAACACCGCACTTAAGCTTACCACAAAAGTCCTAAAAAACAAAATCAATAAACTAACAACTTTATCAGATGAAAAACAAGGATTCAGATCCGGAAGATCCAGCGCAGACGCCGTATTTGTACTCTGTCAAATTACAGAAAAGACCATCGAGTACAATAAATCAGCATTATGTTTTATAGACCAGACAAAGGCTTTTGATCGCATTAAAATCGAAGACGTCTTACACCTACTGTATAAAAGAAACATACCAATCAATACTATACAATACATCGAAAACATCTACTTCCATAATCGAATACAGTCAAAGGTACATGGAAAACTATTACAGTGTATACCAATACAAAGTGGAGTCAGACACGGTGACTCGTTAAGCCCACTTCTGTTTAATATTATAATAAACGAAACAATACAAGCAGTACGTAAAGGTTATGGCTACATAATAGGAAACAAAGAAATCCAAACATTATGTTATTCAGGCGACGTAGCATTAATCACCGATACAGAAAACAAACTCCAAAGATCAACACGTATCTTCAATACAACAGCCTAGAAATACAATATGATAATATCAGCAGGAAAAACCAAATTCATGACATCTTAATACACACTACGATGTAAAATCGAAATTGATTGGAAGATAATAAAGTAGGAAGCAAGGTTTGAAGCAATCAAGGGAATAGATATAACTAGTTACGGGAATGTTGAAGAGGAAGTACGACAACAAGGCTTAAGAGCAAGTAAAGCGGCGGGATCTCTTAATGACACAATCTGGAAGAAAAAACACCTAAGACAAGACACAAAAATAAGAATCTATAAAGCAGCAATTATATATTAACATACTCGGCGGAGACAAGACCTGACACATTCAAAACGAGACGACTACTAGAAACAACAGAGATGAAAATATTTCGACGAATGTCAGGAAAAAGTCAGTTGGATAAGTAGAAAAGCAAAAACATAAGAAGAGCATGCAATATAGAAGACATAAATGGATTGGTGAAAAAACGGAAACAGGAGTGGAATGAACACATTAGTAGTAAAGGATAAAATAGTACGAATATCACGAGATTAGTCACCAAATGGACGAAGAAGTATTGGAAGACTAAGAAAAAGATAGTGCGACAATTTAAACAATTTAGGAGGCTATATCGAAGAAAAAACAGGCTTTAAAAAGTAATGAAAAATTAATCCAAATTTTAAAGATAAAAAACATAGACCACAGGGATGTACCTGTGTACGCATGTATTACGAATAATAACAAACCTCTACTTGAATCAAAGAGCACAAATCGTAATAGATAACGAACCCAGTCCAGAAATTGAAATTAGGAGAGCAGTTAGGCAGGGATGTATTATGTCACCATTACTATTTAGTATATATAGTGAAGCCATTTTTGAAAAAGCATTACTATCTCAAAGTGAAGGAATAATACTTAACGGAAGATCTATTAACAATATAAGATATGCAGATGAAACCGTGATTATCGCAAGCACTGATGAACAACTCCAATTACTGCTAAACAAAACAAACAGTTTCTGTGAAAAATATGGACTTAAAATGAATATAAAAAGGACCAAATACTTGATAATAACAAAGAAAACAAATATACCAACATACATACATTTGGAAAATGTACCAATAGAAAGAGTTGATAAATACAAATACCTAGGAACCTGGAAATCAGACAATAATGATCAAACAACCGAAATAAGAGCTAGGATAGAAATAGCAAGAAATGCGTTTGTAAAAATGAAAACAATTCTCTGCAACAAAGATTTTAGATTAAAACTGAGAGTAAGAGCACTGAGATGTTAGCTGTTTTCGATACTGCAATATGAACTTGAAAACTGGACATTGAAGCAAGAATACATAAATACGTTACAGTCCTTTGAAATGTGATGTTACAGGAGGATGCTTAAAATAGCATGGTTCTAAATTGTAAACTTACCTCTGTTAGAGCGTTAATAGTAAAAACGTCCCGCCATTAATTTATTGTTTAAAATAATCTATCTTATACTAAAGCATAGAATAATAAACAATCAGAATGCCCACTTTCCATGGAAAATTAAGTACGCCCATCTAGTTCGCGCAGACGTTCCGCAATGTTTTAAAGGGAACTAGGGTTGTTTATGTGGTGTGCATAGAAAAATTAACCCGGTTTAATTGACTTACGGTAATCATAGACATACTATATAATTAGTTTAACATTGTTAAATATAGTAACATAAATATAATAAAATTAAACATAAATATAAACAATTACATAACCTCACAAATCATATGTCTGTGTTATGTTTCCTTCTAAAATACGGCGCGCGTGCTGAAAAACTTCAAAGGCGGCATCTGAGAGTGGGCATTCTGATTGTTTATTATTCTGTTACGAAAGCTTATCAGCTTATTACAGACTATTTATTTGTTTTGGCATAGCAGAATCACAATACACAACAATGTATTTATAAAAACAATTTATTAATATATATTAAACTATGATCACATTGTGTAAGAAATCAAAACAAACAAAATTCCTACTCTAAAACACAGGCTGAACTGTCAAAAAAGCTTAAGGTATTTCCGTATCATTTGCGTGCAATTGTCTAATTTATTTAATTAAAATTAATATTTTGTGAAATATTAGAGTTAAAGACTTATTTTATAAAATTTTAATTATTAATAATAACAAACTAACCCCCTCTGTGGCTAAGTGGTAAGAGCGCCTACCTTTAAACCTAAAGGTCGTGAGTTCGAATCTCATCTGGGTGGAGAAAATTTTCATTTATTAAAAATTAATGAATGAAAATAATTTCTATCCTTGTGCGATCGGTACTCACCAGAGGGACCGCAGACGTTCGGATACAATTAGCGTCTCTTAGCAAAGACAATGACGTGGACTTTGCTAAGTATCAAGACAATTAATCTACACACACGCACTACACTAGGTACCTGACTGTACCATGCCAATGATCATAGTTGTCGAGGCATTAACCCAATAAAAAAAATAATAGTAACAAATCTTTTTGGTAATTTAATCAATATAATTCTAAAATTTCCAATATAATATTGATTACATTTTTCTGATTATTACACCATGTTGACGCCTATGAAAGATCGAGCAGCTGCGTATGGGTTTCGCATTATTAGCTGTGTTAGAAAAACTTGAACTTCAAGGTTGACGTTCTGGAAATTTTAAATATAAGCGACGTCACTTTATATAAATTGTGACGTGCAAGCAATTTTATATGGAAAATGCTATAGTTAAACGAGTGTTGTAAAAAGTTTAATACATAAGATTAACAAAAACTAATTGCAAAATAGTTTTTATTAGGCCGTAACTTGACTCCTTATAATAAAATAAGATAAGAAGTTGTACTTTCAACCTTTCCTTTTAGTTTATAAATAATAATTTTTGCTATTTTTTCCTTACAGGTTTTATCATGATCTCCCATTCAATATTTGTCTTCATCTTAGTCCAGTCATCATTAGCCAATCTAGAAGATTCATACTCAGATACTCCAGACAACTTTAATGTATACTCCGAAGAGTTCCTGGACCCTGATGAGTCTGATATTGAAAAGAGGGACAATCATTTTATGCGGTTTGGTAGAAATTTGGGAGACCTAAAGAACAGAGAATTTTGGTACGACGACTATGACGACATTGATGTTCCCAATAAAAGATCAGGAAATCAACACATTAGATTTGGTAGGTCTGGAGCAAGTTCGTTTATGAGATATGGAAGGGATCATCTTAAAGGCGGAAGAAACAAAGCGCATTTTATGAGGATAGGTAAGTTTTTAAAAGTTACTAAAAACTGGCAATTTTATTTTAACAAACTATTATTTATTGGTCAAATAGCAATTGCCCAATTTAAATACAATTTAACAATATTTTAATACTGAAATATAAAATTTTAAAAATTTAAAACCCTAATTTATTACATATCACAAAATTTAAAACAAATATACACATAAAAGAAAGAGGAAAAAAAAGAAAAATATTGTCACAATTTAAAATCTTCTTCTTGTTCTTGATACGTTTTAAAAAGCAATTCTGGTTATATATTGGCAGATTAATACCTCTATGCAACGTTGTCACTCCATCTTCTGCCGATTGGTGACTTCTATCTATCTAATCAGCCTTAAACGCCCACTCTTTTGCATAGGCCTCCCTGTTAATCTCCATTGGTCTCTATTTTGGGCAATTTGCATTACATTATATTAATAATACATTAGATGTTCATTTGTAATACCATGTAACGTTTTTATTGATTTTTTAATTGTGTGTTCTTTTGTATGCCATACGATAAATAAATGCATCCAGTCCTTTCCTGCCGTTCTCTTAAGATCGTCAGTTCATCTCATCTGTGGTCTTCCTCTTTTTCTTTTCTTTTCCCATGGTCGCCAGTGTAGAATTTGCTTATTCCATCTTTCATCTTTTTGCCGGAGAGTGTGACTGGCGAAGTTCCATTTAAATTTTGCAACCTGTCTTGATACATCATTCACCTTCACCGTTCACCGATTGGTGAGTTATCTCTTGCTATTTTGATGACATGGGTATCCCCCTTTCTGCTTATGTGGTTATTCCATTTTTTTTCTATTTGGTGTTTATTCGTTTATACACTGTATGTTACATTTTTTTTATGTCTTTACTTCTCTTTCGATCTCTTAGTGTATTTTCTGTAATTCTTTTCAGTACTCTTATCTCTGTCGTTTTCAGTATCCTTTGTGTTATGGCTGTGTCGGCTCTTGTTTCTGAAGCATGTCATTAATTTGACATGAAAATTTGACAGTCTATTTTAACTAAGTTGATGTTACAATTTGAGATTATCGCCGTAAAAAAAGCTGATCAAAATTATGAAAATTTTGTAAAAAATTAGAATCTCGATCTAATCTAATCAAATACAGGTATAAACACCCAATGAAAGCATGGTCCGCTAAAATCTTCATTCTACTTCGACCATTAAAGAAAGAAGATTTTAGAGGTTAGTGTTTTCAAACCTACAAATAACAACATTGTCCACTTTACATGACACAAAGTTCAGGTTAAGATTTAAATAAAAAAGATGTAAAACTCTCTAGAGAGGACTTTCTGTACAATACATAAAAGTAACAGTTGTGCGTTGTCTTTGTACCAGTATTTGTAAATTTACAATACATGTATTACAATATATGTATTTTGTGAAAAAAACTTATACAATTTTTTCAAAATTTTGATAACTTTGACCAGCTTTCTTTACGGCGATAATTTCAAATCGTAAGTAACATCAACTTAGTTAAAATAGACTGTCAAATTTTCATGTAAAACTATTTGTAGCTTATCCCTGATAATGTCGATAACTATCGACAAAATATTGGAATAATAAAGGAATAAAGAGTACACTTAGCCTATATATATATATATATATATATATATATATATATATATATATATATATATATATATATATATATATATATTTATATTGTTATGATATGTAAAATCGAGAAAAATATTGGTTTGCTTAAAATATTTCAAAGTTCAAAAAAATTAAAATAATGCAGATAAGTCAAACAATAAACTACAAACATTTCGAAGAGTGAAAATCTTTTAATTTTGGATTACCTGTATTGAACAAAACGTAAGATATGCATAAATTATTTTCTTTGTTAAAATATATTTCAGTGACCTGCGTAAGCTTAAGTGAAATCCTGGACAATGGAAGCGGGTTTTCCAAATAAATTTGTTCAGTAATTAGGACAATAGAATAGATTTTAGAAAGATATGTTTTTGTTAGTTCATAAGAATTGGTAGAAAAAATTTATTTTGTAAATAAGTTTTAGGGAATTTTATAATTGTAGGTAAAAATTTGTTTGGGTTATCGAAATGAAGAAGTGGAGAGGTATGACGCGTTTTGATTGGATGAGATTGAAAAAGGTGGAATGGTTGGTTTGAGAATGAGACTTTAGTTAGTTTTTGAAGAAAAAAAGATAGTCAGTTGGTTTCCAAGGGTGCAAGGTGAACGGCCGTTGTTCTCGGGTAGTTTCCCAAAGGTAGGAAGCAGTAGCAGTGAAAGTTTGTGAGTTTTCGTATAGTTAGTGTATCTGACAGAAGCTGATCCAGTAAAATATTGTAAGTCATATTTTTCTACTTATATTCCAAGAGTCACTGTTCAGGCCAACGAGTGCTTCAGTTTATCGAAAAGAGAAGATATTCCAAGAGTCATTTTTCACTCAGGCCAACGAGAGATTCAGTTTATCGAGAGGAGAAAAGGCTAGCATAATTTAAACGATTCGTGCATTTGCAGGAGATCATTAAGGACGATAAACTTGCAACAATTTGTTTGTAAGATTGCCGATTACCTAGGGAGCTGTTAAGAATAGATAGTATAGGCTACAAGGAACAAGGATTTGGACCACTCATCATCAGAGAGAGATAGTTTTGTTTTTTCTGCAGCTTTGCTTTTATTGATAACACAATTTTTACAATTACTTTAGAAAAGACATAAATATTTTGATTAGTAGATTTAGAATAATAATTGGGATTTTGAGATTTTAACTTATATTGTTTGTACCATTAATTTTGAAGGTTCACGTACGTAGAACAAAATTTTGAGAATCAATATATGAGATATTGTTTATTGAAAACATTTTAGTGTGAATTTTATTTCATTATTTTTTTTCAATATATATAGTGTTATATCATATGTTTTTTTTTATTATTCCGGTATTCTTTGGACCTTACCTTTCACATGTAAAGCATAAATATTGAAGCACGAATAACCCTGAGATAAGAGAATTAAAAAGTGTGATAGAATCATAATCATATCATTTAAATAATTTTAATTAATTAATTAATTAATTAACTAATTAATTGCTTGGCGCACCAAGACTTTAAATATCACAATAACTGGCTTCCAAAACGTGGGGCTTGAAAATGTCGCAGCTTTACATTTGAAGGAAGGGAAAGAGATCTGGAATAAGTACAGGTGATCCAGAGATAAAAACATATAACATTGAGGGAATTTGAATTTGAAAATATTTTGACAATTTTTTTTCCAGTGGATATAAATTTGATTTATTGATTGATCGTAGTTAGTTGATATTTACTGCTATTGAATTATTTGATTTTATTTTACCAATCGTACATTTGATATTTATTTTGAATTATTTGAATTTTACTCATTGAATATTTGATATTTGTCGTGAAAATTTATTACAATTTTGGAGAAATATTGTCGTGTTCTGCAACATATAGAGTGTTGTAAAATTTCACATTTGGCGGGGACAAAAACAGTAACGAAAAGAAACAACATGGCGACCACAAGGAGTCAAAGCAAAATGCAGGAAAGGAAGGAGGATAATAGAGAACAGGAAACAATTGTGGAAGAAGGATCGGATAATGAAGGAAATGTTACAATAGTTGAGGAAAGAAAAGAAACAGGGATGTTAGAAAAATTATTAGCAATGATGCAAATACAGACACAAACAATAGAAAAAAATCAACAAAAAACAAAACAAACAATGAAAGAAAACCAACGGGAAACAAGACAAGCAATAGAACTAAATAACAGGAAGATAGAGCAGCGTTTGGAAAACTATGAACAGAAATTAGAAGAAAATGATAGAAAAATGGAAAAGCGTTTGGACAAATATGAAAATGATGTAAAAGTCTGTTTAGAAAAAGTAAGAGAAGAAACAGAAAAGAAACTAGAGATGCAGAGAAAAGAAATAGAAACTAAAATGAAAGATATTAAGACTGTCCAGAAAAAGGAATTAGAAAAATTAGAAACAAAATTTGAAAACGCGTTACAAGAAGACATGAGAGAAATAGAAAGAAAAATGGAGGAAATCAAAAAGGAACAAAATTCCGGGGAAAGAAGGGAAATGTTTATCCAAGGAACAAGCGAGGTGAAAATACAATTTGGCGGGGATATTAGAAAAACACACCCAGTACCGTTTGTTGAAAATTTGAAAACCAAATTACAACATATTAGATATTTTGAAGATTGCAAAGAAACTATTAGAAACCATCTGAAAGAAGGAGCAGCGTTATGGTATAAAAGCAAAGAAGATGAGTTTGAAAATTGGACAGATTTCGAGAATAAATTTCTCAACTATTTCTGGGGGAAAAATAAACAGAGAGAAATCAATCAAGAGCTACAGAATGGAAAATATCACGAAAAAATGGGAATATCTGAAGAAAGATATGCTTTGCAGATATATAACAACTCAAAATACCTGGAATACAAATATTCTACCGAACAGCTGGTAGAACTGATCAGCTGACATTTTGAGGAAACGTTGGAAGATCACGTGATTTTGAGAAACTATCAAGATATTGATAGTTTGTGCCAATTCCTTCAATTAAAAGAAGCGAAAAGAAGAGAAATGAGAAATAGAAGAAAACATGATCAATATAATGGACCGGAAAGAAGGTATTCATCAAATTATGACCAGAGAAACCGACATCCCAGATCAACAAACGAATATAGGCCGAGAAATTACAATAATTACAATAGACAACACAATTACGATAACAGGAATGACACACAACATAGAACATATGAAAATCACAACAGGAATAGAGATGCACAAAATCCTCCGAAAAGGAATACTTACTAACGAACAAAGGGACGATAGAAATAACCAGAGCTTCCAACAACAAAATAGAAGGGAGATGAATCATGTAGCAATAGGAAACGAAAGACAAATTTCTAATTCTAATCTAATATTTTTAGATGCATTTATAAAACATAAAGCGATTAAAATTGTAATTGATTCTGGATCGGAGATATCGCTAATCAATAA